GCGGATGCCGCCGCAAGCGGTGGGGCGCGGCTGGGGGCAACAGGAGGAGCGGGCGGAGGTGGGACGCAGGGTGCCGGCGGAAGCGACGGCAGTGGGTGCGGGAGGGGTGAGCACGACCACGACGCCAGCGGCGCGCGCAAGGAGCAAGCTCCGGGTGCGGGAAGTAGCTAGGGGAGTTGGTCGATGGTGCGACCAACGACGCGCTGGGCGCTGGCAGACACGACAAGCTGTAGGCGACGGCGGCGGCTAAAGCAGCAGTGCAGCAGAAGCAACTAGAGGCAAGGCGGAGCGCGAGCACGCGGGCGGCGCACGGTCGGGCGCGCACGGGGCTCGTGTAGATGGCTCCAAGGTTTGGCTGCAGGTGGCTGGGCCACGCGGGCGCGGACGCAGAGCTTCGGCCATGGCAGAAACAGCGTGGGGAGCGAGCTACGAGGAAGAAGGAGAGGCGCGAGGAGAGGGAAAAGTAGCCGGAGCTCACGGGAAAGGCACAAGGAGGCCCGGCGTTTGCTTAGGAGCAGCAGAGGCACCGGAATCGTCGGGGATCGCCGGCGGCCGTCGAGGAAGAAGACGGTCGGATCCGGCGTGGTGGTGGTCCCCGACTCCGATGGCTTGGCGTAGAGGACGTAGTCGAGGGCAGCGCGCCTCCTGGGCATAGCTTTGCGGTGCACGGTGGCCGGAGACCACATGGACGACGACGTTCATGGCAGTGACAACGGCGGGTGGCTGCGCGTGGAAGAAAACGGCGCGAGGGGGAAGAAGTGAAGAGGCTAGGGTTCGCAGGGCATCGAGGGGAGTCAAGTAGGAGGCCGAGGGGGCTGGATGCATGCCGCGTGGCGATCCCCAACCATGGACGAGCCCTTTGTGTCCACGAGGTGTGGTGAACAGAGAGGTAAGGGATGAAGGGCATTGATGGGCTGGTCCGGCTCCTGTAGTCGCGGGCCGTAAGTGCTAGTAGTTTTCTCTTTTACTTTTTTTACCTTTTCTTTTATGTATTTTCCTACTGTTTTGTATTTGTTGGAGCGAGCAAACGAATTTTGTTACGGATGAAACTTGGCACATAAATACAAGACATTGCTATGAGCTAGCACAACAAGTTTTAATTTATTTTGAAAAGTGAAAATATTTATTTAATTGAAATTGGATCAATTAAAAGTTGTTGGTACAATTTTAAATAGGTTAAGGGCGTTTTAATAATTCAAATAATATTTGTTTTGTTCATGAAAATTTGTTAGTGAATTCTTACAACCCAATGGACATTTTTATTTTTTTTATGAAACTATAATTTGAATTTGTATTTGAACTTACTTTGAAGCAAGTGAGGTTTAGCGAAATTTTAATTACGATGACCTGGCATCATTAACACGGGTTTACTGTAGCTTAACTATCGGGGTGTCACAGTCTTGCTCCAGATCGAGGACGAGCTCCTTTCCTCCTTCTGTGTCCATTCTTCCTCCGGCCGCTCCCCTACATTCACGCATAGACATCACGACGGCCACTGCTCCCTCCCCCTCGTCTGTACAGAGCTCCCTTCGCCCTCCACCCAGCCTCAATAGGTCCGGCGTGGGTGGGTACGCTGGACACCAGATCCGGTATATACGCGAGCTGCAGCGCCCCGATCCAGCCGAGTGGCATGGCGCACGTCCCCAACTTGCAGCGCCGACATGAGAGGGGCGGAGCCGCAGAGGTGGCCGGCGCGAGGTGTAGTGGAAGCGGCGGACACGAAGGGGATATGGATGAAATGCGTGGAAGGGGTAGATAGCGACAAACGCCAATAGTTTTGCGATTGAGACTCCCCGACCAGATGGTACCAGGTCCACGCGTGCGGTGATTCGCGGCGGGATCGAGCGGCCAGGAGCTGACCGCTCGTTCCGTCTAAATAGTGCGTATGCACTTTTTAGATTTCAGGTTGTTTAAATTGTGGGTATTTTTTTGCAAAAACTGCCACCGTCTGATCTGGATCTAACGGCTCTGGTGGCGTTCGGCGGGATCACATCCCAGCGAACGTTCGCCGGATAGCATTTCCCAAAACCAAAGCTGAGCTCTCGTAGAAACCTCGATGAACCCTCGGCCCTCGCCGCTCCACCATTCCGTGTTCCTCCTCCCTTGCCCCGGCCTGGCGGCCGCTCCTGCCTCTCTCCACACCTCCGTGCTGCCGCCCGGCGCTCCTCCCCGCCTCCCGCTTCTGCCCAACCTCCCGTCCGACGCGCCACTTCCCTGGAGTTGTGCTGCCGCCGATCCCAACCCTAGACGCCCCCCTCCACTGAAGCAGCGCCGCCGCCGCCGCCCACGCCCCTGACGCCGCCCTCTACCTGCTGCGCCGCCACGCAGCCTCCACACCGAGGCGTGTAAGGATATTCTCATTCTTACTTTTTGGCCGCTCTAAGATTGGATGTGTTGTGTGTAAAGAATACAATTTGGTTGGTTCTTTTGCTTTTCACTAACTGGACTGTGTTTGCCGATCTTGGAATTAGAGAGATTTAAAATTTAATTAGTGGTGTGTGTTAGAATGCAACTAGCACTACTTTATTGGATTCAAATGCCTTGCATCATGTTGTCAACCATAGATGTGTCCTCTAATTCTGCTGATGCATCCACATTTTGAGTTGACGAGGCTGCTCTTGCTCTGGTGCCATTGCTCCTGAGCCACCACGACTTGTGGGGGACAAGCCAATAAAGCTGCTCGATGCTGTCCTAAGAAGTGTTACTACACATACTACTACTGCGTTGGGACTAGGGGATTCACGCGGACCATTGGTCAGGACGCTGTTGCCAGCGGTGTAACTATGTGCTTTCAAAGATCTCAACACTTTTTTTGAGTTGAAAGTTTAGTTTAGTTTCATTGTTGTAACTTCATGGTCGATTTTGAATAGGGAGTTAAACTTCAGTGTGTTGATTTTTAGTCTTCCCACACTGAACATTTAATCCTAGAAATCAAAAGTAGTGCTTGAATGTTTTGATATTTGTTCGGACTGGAATACAGCCTGTACTGCTCCCGTGTTTGACCTCCAGAGTAAGTGCACACACAGTTCAGAAGCAGGTCGCCCCTCGCATGCTAGTTGTAATGCTCCAACTGTAAAATGTGTTGTTAGACTGGAACTGGATAGAAAAATAATCCAAATCGAAGTATGCTATTCCTTGTATTTACTTCACAATCTGAATAGATTCCTTTTTTTGCTTTTGAAGGTTGAAGACCACATTCCTTGTAATCCTCTTATTTGAAGGCTAATTGGAGTTGGATCATTCTCCTAGGTCTACTACTTCTGTTCACCAATGGTTTACTGTACTCACTGTGCTGATTATTGCCCATACATAAAGGATCCTGACAAAGGATATATGTGAGATCCTCTTTCCTGTTCTTTCTTTGTTATTCTTATTGCATCTGAAATCAGGCCGTATAATTGTTTGTGTACATGATTTTGTTGATCAGCCTGTTACTTTCTTGCTTAATAGATTTCTATTAAGCAGCTTCAGCGGTTGTTCATGTGTCTTGTCATGTTTGATGGTCAGATGTTGTGGGACATGTGGAAAGGTTCTTGATCAGGAGATTTACACCGATGAGCCTACTTTTGTCAAGGACAGTTCCGGAGCGGTTGGTCTTATTATTGTGCTTCTCATTATTCACTTCCTTAATTTATCTGTGTAGTTTGTGAGGTTGACTTTCTTGGATGTGTACAGAGCAGGCTGGCTGGAAACATACTGAGCAGCATCGAAAGTGGGAGTTCACTATCCCATGAAAGGACTTTAATGAAAGGTATGGCTTTTAGGGCACTCCTTTGTTGTATTGAACTATTGATTGTTCTTCCCACTTTGTGAATTAAGCCTGTGATTTATTTCCGTAGGGAGAGACGAGATTTGGCAGATTGTCACTAGCTTACATGTTGGTGGTGGAGATACTATCATTGATATGGCTCATAAATTTTATACAGTATGGATTTTTGTTATCACTCAGTAATAGTTATGAAAAATTATGAGAATGATATTTCTTTTTGTTGAAGTGTAGCTAGCTGTGGACCATAATTTTACAAGGGGCCGTCGAACAACTCATGTTGCAGCAGCTTGTCTTTACATTGCCTGCCGGTACGCTATCACCTAATTAACAGTTTGTCTCTTGTTGCTTTATTGTAAGCCTTCCTATCCATTTTGCCCTTTTTCATATATGACCCTGTCCTCCCCCATTTTTGGTGGGGCTAGGAATCTTCCTTAGTTTATTAGTCATTGATTGCTTCATGACGCAAGTCTAATTTCCTCTAAACAACTGCAAAACCATCTTTACTATATGGTTTTTAAAAATCGCAATACAGTATTGGCGCATTATGTTTTACTTCCATTCTATATCTCTGGTTTCTTACTAGAAAATTAGATGCTTGATCTAGATAAACTTCTGTCCTGGTGAGTTCGTAAAACAACAAGCGAGAAAACCAAGAGACAAGCGCCTAAGCTGTATGAACCTATGGGACAACCAAGCTTCTTCTATAGACATGCACGGCGAACCCATGCCTCTCAGATATACATTCTATATAGTAAGGAGTGGTCTACTATCAAGACTGTTTCCTAAATTCTTGAGTTCAGAGCTCTTCTGAGTAGCCCAGTGATGTTAGTTTTTGTTTGTTTACTATTCTTAAAATACTTCCTGCAAATGGAAATACCTATCCTCAAATACGTGCTAGTAATAAAAAATTAACTTGGTCATCTATCTATGTATAAAAAAAGGGCATCTACAGCGTCCACATGAAACGGATATTACTACTTACTAGACTAGGTATATTCTGTGGGTGTATACATGGACTTATTATATGTGCAGCAAGCACTATCACTACACGTCATGATTTATTGCTGTGCTGAAAAAGTCTTGTTTCCCTTTTATGTTCTTTGTGGTTCACCGAAATCTGCTCTCTTTAAGCCAATGGTTGTCACTTGGTTTCAGCAAACTATATGGTTAGTACTTACATCCATGCTTAATTGCTTCTCTTGTCAGGCAAAGTAAAAAGGCTTATCTCCTTATCGATTTCTCGGACTATTTGAAGATTAGCGTGTAAGTGAACCATTCTCTTGCCATTTATCTTGTAATCTGTAGTAAAAAGGCTCATCTATTTTTTTTTTCAGTTATGTCCTAGGTGCTGTTTTTCTGCAACTTTGCCAAGTTTTGCTACTTGCAGAACATCCAATTGTTCAGAAACTCATAGATCCCAGCCTTTTCATCCATCGTTTTACAGAACGTAAGTTAATCATATATTTCTATGTACCTCTTTATTTAGTTGAGACTTTTTCTTTTGTTCCATAGATGTACACTCTTGTTCTACACATGAATTCATTTTTTCGTCTTTCTCAAGCCTGCCTGCCTCTCCATGTTTCCGCTAACTACCCCAATACTGGTCTGGTTTTTGTTGGTTCAGTTTTTGCATGAATTCTAATTCCAAACAACATAATCTCATGAGTACTTGACAAATCATATCAAAAAGTCTAAAAATGAGTTCCCCCTTCTATTGTAACTGTGCTATTTCTTTTTAGTATCTTAGACTAAATTATATTGTTCCTAGATTCCGAATCATACTTCAACCCTTGTTTTTAAAGATATGTTTCTCCTTTGAGCTTTCCTCCGGGATCTCATTCATCTTCCAACTCTTCTTCTAGGCACAATAAACTTGCTGGAACTGTGGCCCTTGCTTCTTCCTTCCTTTCACTAATAGTCCGACTCAAATCTCCTGACCACTAGATTACCGTTGCTTCCGCTGCACCCTCTCGATATGACTGGCTTCGTATAAATGGGCGCAGTGACTCTCCTGCCGTCGAGATCTGCCCCTGATTTGGGGGTTTGGATTTACATGTGAGAGCCTAATTGATGCAGAAAAGTTATGTTCTTTTGTTGCAAGATCACTTCGATTTCGTATGAATGAGGCATCACCCTGTCTTGATTCCAGTGCAGTAGTTTGTTGGAAAATGCCTCAATTGAGAGTTTCTTGGACTTGTGGAGTTCCTTACCTGAATTTTCTAATTGTCATCCTATGATCCATCTAAGCTCCTAGCAGCACCGTGGCCACAACTTTCACAGTGACATGGAAGCATGCGGGAGTAGGTGGCTACAGGAGCGGGGCATCTACTGTATATCCAATGCCGGAACAACAATTAGACGCTGGCTCTGCAGTAGCAGTTAAAAGAAGAGAAGGGGGGTAAAACTAGCATATTATTTAGTAAGGATATATATATTTAGTGCGGAACGAGATTGTCTTAGTTAGGAAGACAAATATATGGTCTGTTAGGGAAGTTGAGATTTTATTCATTATATTCTGAGGCGTCAAGTTGAGTCTACTATATATAAGGGACACAATCGCCATGTACCAAGGAATGTGAATAAACCAGTAAAGATCTAATCCACATCCGACGTACTCTCCCTCTCATCTCCAGCGCCATGGCCGCACAACCCTTAGTCGTTTGATCCATGCCCGCAGCGTACGGATGAACCTCTGTCCTGGACTCTCCCAGTCATTGGACCGCTATCCACTATAATACTGAGAAAACTCATGACATGGGGTCTAGTGGAAGGCCGGCGGGGCCAGTGGCACCTCTGTTTAGATGGTGACAGCAAGAGATCTGTGGGAAATGAAGATCTGTGTAAGAGGAAATGTTTTTGTCACTGAAATGTGCGGCCCATTGCACAGTACATGGATACGCTTACAAGGATCCCGTGAGTGCATGTTAGACTGCAGCCAGGGTGCTTTAGGGCAAGGGATAAACGGTACTGAGGCTTAGAAGGGGCCAAAGACTCTTCATGGATAGTTGAGGGGCAAAACTAGACTTTTGCTACTTAATACTGCATGGCTTACTGGTCAATTGTTCAGTTGTACCGTATGCCATTGCATGAAAAGAAGAAATTTACTGCATCTTATGGTGCGAAGAGAAAAGGCTACACAAAATAAGAGCTAGTGACATGCTAATGACAGAGAATATCTGTCCTCGGCTGTATATGTAGATTTAATGTTAATAGGCTACAGAGGCTATGAAGTATGTGTAATCAAAAGTTGGTCAAATGCGAGCTAATACGGCTCTTGAATGAGCTTTTCCTTGCCCACATGGGTGTTTTTGCTTGTAAGCACGATTAGATGGACAACTGCACCTCTTGGCAAGAAAATTAACCATGTTTTTATTTATTTGTTTGTTTATGTTTTTGTTCTAATTAACTGGTTTTGTCTGCAGGTTTACTTGGGAAAAGGGACAATGCTGTCTCAGACACAGCTTTACGCATCGTAGCTAGCATGAAGCGAGACTGGATGCAGGTTAGCATCTTCTCCCTTTTAGTTTTGTTTAAGGTTCCTTTGTAAGATTGTAATAGTTTGTCACATGTTGCAGACTGGGAGGAAGCCAAGTGGATTATGTGGTGCAGCATTATATATTGCTGCACTTTCACATGGCTATAATTATACCAAGTCAAATATTGTAAGCTCAGATGCTCAGGACAGATCTACTTATTCGAGAATTGTGTTCTAAATGGCTTCCTTTTTGTTAATCAGCATTTATTGTGTGAATCCATTACTTTTATGCACAATGTGGGCTTGAATATGATTTGACACATTTGTGCTATGTTTGTCAGGTTGCGGTTGTGCATGTATGTGAGGCAACACTAACTAAGCGCTTGATAGAGTTTGAAAATACAGATTCTGGCAGCTTAACGGTATGTATATGCTTTTCTTGAAGTTGACTAATGGGGCTGTGTATTCATCCGATGACTTCAGTTTCACTAGATATTAGTCACTTCTCCCAAGTCCACACCCTTTGGCAAAGATCAATCCAATTAGGTCGCTCCCCTCACTTCTATAAAACCATGTTCCACAGAATACAAAGAGAAAAAACATACATCTAAGCTGGATAAAAAAATTCTAAACTTTACAAGAAAAACAAGTACCTAGGTTAACCCCTAAAAAACACTGAAACAAATAGAACTAAAAATTGCATTAAATGTTCACAGAAAGTGCATATTACTTGCGCACTGCAATTTAGGCTTAGTACTATGAAGTTAACAAAAATTAGGCAACTGAAAAGTGAAATTTAGCAAAATTGTTATTTGATGTTGCTACACTGAATGGTCAGCGATCAGTCGGTGCAAATTGTTTGGTTATCACTATCTTGTGGAAGTCGTTATTAAGCTGTCCATTCTGAAGCATACCAAGTGATTATCATCCAGCAGTGAGTGGGGCAAGAATTGGACTGTGTGTGATATCACTAAAGCAAATAATCTTTACTTTTTAGCCTTTCAGACAGCAAATTATAGGTGATAATATTTTTACTTCCTTTGTTCCAAAATATAAGGTGTGTTAATTTTTCAAAAGTCAAACATCTCTCTGTTTGACCAAGATTGTAGAAAACTATATCAAAATTTTCAATACCAAATAGATAAGCTATGAAAATATGTTTCACGATGAATCTAATGATACTGATTTGGTATTCTAGGTATCAATGTTTTTCTCTCTTTTTTTGTGATGAGATATTGATATTTTTCTCAATGAACTTCCTCAAACACAGATAAGTTTGACTTCTCAAAATATCAACACACCTTATGTTTGGAATGGAGGGAGTATCTGCTAGAGCATTGGGGCATGCCATTTCATGTCGCTACCTTCTCTTGTCACATCTACTACAAATGTATCATTATCTGTCTTGACCTTGGATATCATGCCAAGATAAATTATGCTATACTGTAAATGAAAATGGCCCCTGAGGATTGGGGCAGGAACTGCTCACTTTTTTTTTAACATACAACATATTCATAAGCACTTCTTCACGCCCCTTTGCTAGATTGAAGATTTTTTGGCAAAGGCTGATGAAGAGCCTGTTTCAAAATTTTCACCCATATCTGGAGAAGTCCTCTGCAAGCACAAGGATAAAGCTGTTGAGCATTTTGCTCATGGACTTTGTGAGAAGTGCTACAACAAAGTAATACACATTTACTATGCTTATAATGCATTGGTTTTGATACTCCATTCGCCATTGACACATGACTTGATTGTTCAGTTTACTAAACTGTCGGGTGGACTGGAGGGTGGTGCTGACCCTCCAGCTTTCCAACGAGCTGAAAAACAAAGACTGGAAGCTGCTAAGAAGGCTGAGGAAGCTGCTGCTAATAAGGAAGCAATGTTAGGAGAGTCAATTTGTGAGATACAGAATTCTGATGCTGAACATAACATCACGAGCACTACAGAGGTAATAATCTGTCCTGAACTTACTCAAACTCGTGCTTCATACCCTATCTACTCAACAAATCAAGAGGCGCTACTACAGTGCACCTTCTCTGCCTTCACTCATCTGGGACATCACTGATGAGGCAGCCCGTCCTTTGGGAGATGGACTTTAGGTGAGAAGAAGATGGTGCTGTTTCTTAGTGGGGTGGAAGAAAACATCACTGGTACTGGATTCTTGCAAGACGAGGAAGATCTGTAGTGGCGTTGACCTCTCCTTGTTCCCCTGCTTCTTCATCGGCTCATTCTGCTTGCCAAACAGCCCGGGTTCCAGTCTGGCTTAGACCTAACCCCATTTGGGTTGGCCACACACGACAGACAACTAACCATTTCCATTTTTCTGAACTCAACTCATGCAAAATGGTTAACCCATGGCTTGCCTTGGAACCCTTGGCTTACATGTTAGTGGCACTCTAGTTCTCTAAGCAATGTAGGACTATTCTCCCAAATGTGCTCATGCATGCACGCATCACTAGTAGGCTGCATCTGGGCCCTTATTCCAACTGGGGCAGGTTGTAACACAAAGCTCACAAGATAGGGGCAAATAGTCTACTTATCCGAACAGACTCATGACATGCGGCCTAGAAGAAGCCAGTAGTTTTATATTGAATCAGGGGAAATAAGAAACTTTGGTAGTGGCTTTGTCCCCACCATTTTTATGTCACCCATGTTGCTAGTCAAGAGGGAGCTATGCCGGCTGCGGCCCCGAGATCCCACTATCCCAGTGAGGATCGTATCTAAGAACTGCTGCTGCTGTTGGGATCAGGTTGACAGGCTGACATCGGTTTGTGGCTGCTATATGGCAAAACAACTATGCAACCAGGGTAGTTTTAGGACACGGGTTATTTGTATTGGTTTTGAAGTTGATTGTGTTAGTTAGTCAGTTGTATAGTTGTGGGTGAAACTTATACTTATGTGATAATTCAGGGGTTTAAAATGCACTGATTCCATTTATCCAATATTTTGTTGTGTAGCTGTAATGCGTAACTACATATGGAATTGTTATACTATCCATTTTATAATAATTTTGCAACATTGCTGCATGGTTATTTCCAAGGTTCTTAAAACTTCCAAGTTCCATCTTTATTTTATTAGTCTGGTTTTTATAGTACACTACTCATTTCAGATTGGGTGTCCACAGCGAGGTGTTAAATTACTCTCAGATTTTTCCTTGCATCTGGTATCACAAGTTTGCAATAACACTGTTTTCTGCAAGTGTTCTGATATGTAGTGCCAATTTAGCTTCTCTTATTTTTTCAACAAAGTTACATGCTGCCTCATCTGTTGCACTTGAAGGACGTGAAAGACAAAAATATACTCGTTAATTCTGTTGGGCACGGTACCAGACTACCAATCATGCTGTGATATCTTCTGATGGAATATTTGAACTGCAAAATGTACCTGTATTGCCTATAGTTTTATTGCATTGTGATGTATGCCTATACCATGTATATTACCTCTTCACCGCATCTGCGTTAGCTCTTTCTTTTATTATCCACTATGTGTGTTGTGTGCCCTATATATACTTGTTTTTGAAAATTCAGTTTGCCTTGTTTCAAGCAGGATTCAGTTGGAGATAAATCTGCAACAATTGGTTCTGGGGAAATTGGAAAGGATTATGTAGCTTCAAAAGATCCTGAAGTTGGAGGTTTGTTAGTTGTAACATGCAATAGTAATTTCAGTTCAGTACCAGGCCACTTTTGGGTTCATATTGTCAAGTTGATTGTTGCTGATCAACTTCCGAATGCTCCTTGGCATCCTTAGGTGAAAATGGTAAAGCTGATGCTGATCCAGAAAGTTTTTCTGATATTGATGATTTGGAGGTACCTTTATCCATCCATCTGTTCAGCACACTTTCAGACTAATTTGTTGGGATCTCTGAGCCTGAAAGATGGCCAGATATGTTATTTGTGATATCTAATTCTCCATTAATTTGATAGGTTGACGGGTATCTTCACAATGAGGAAGAGACGCAGTACAAAAAGATAATTTGGGAGGAAATGAACAAAGAATACCTAGAGGTAGGTATTGTAACTCTAGCAACATTAGGCGGTTCTTAGGGAGTATTCGGTTCCTCTCCGCTCCTCTAACTCCGCTCCCAGAGCGGACCAGACTTAGCTAACTTTGACGGAGCTGCCAAAACGGAGCTCCACAACTCCGCGGAGTGGAGACATTCCAAACAGGGCTTTATTCTCACATGGGGTGCAAGTGTAACTGTCTGCTGCTTTATTTGGCAGGAACAAGCCGCAAAGGAAGCTTTAGCAGCTGAACTGGCAGCTAGAGGTGTGGGCGTGGGAGAGGGACAACAGAAAGTATGGAATCTTACTAGTGTAACACAAGCCTCCTATGTATGCTTAACATTTTCGATTGGGTTCATGATTGCCCATGCATTTTTCATGTAGAAACGGAGACGTAATGATGACTCGAAGAACTCAACACCTGCTGAAACACCAGCGGAAGCAACATACAATATGTTAAAACGAAAGGTAATGAACATATTGTTCAGCCATAGCCGCCCAAAACTTGCTTGTCCTGTAAACGTTGTAATACTCCCTCCATTCCAAATTACTCGTCGTGGTTTTAGTTCAAATTTGAACTAAAACCACGACGAGTAATTTGGAACGGAGGGAGTACATGTTAAGCTAAGCATGCAAACAAACTGGCATTTAATATATAACGTTGTTTCTTGCAGGGACTTGGGTCAAAAATCAACGTCGAAGCAGTTGGTGGATTGTATAATGTATGTTTTATGAGTTTATGTTACTGAATTTATGGTTTTCTTTGGTTCTGTGAGGTTAATTGTTTATATATTTACAAATTATGCTTAGAATATCACCTGCATGAAATTAAAATTGCTACTCATATACTCCCTCCGTTCCAAATTACTCGTTGTGGTTTTAGTTCAAGAGGGGAGTATTTTTTTTTAATCTGGTCTAATTTGTTATGTTTCCTGCGACCCAAATGCTTACTGCGAGCAGACTAAAGATGAAGCTAGTGAAGCAAATGAAAAAGGAGACATGGGCTTTGATGGAGAATATGCACATGACACTGGTGATGGTGAAACAATAGAAGGTGGCTATGACTATGCTGATTACAATAACGATGGCTATGCTGATGGTGGTGATGCTGGAGCCTACGAGGATTACGATGGGATTGATTACTAATATAGTACCAAAATTCTGAGAAAACAGCTCAACAAAATAAGTCTTGGTCAACTGGAAGGGGTTTATATGTATTATACTACCTCCGTACCAAAATATTAGCTGTTTTTTTAGGCGAGTTTTGTAGCATAAAGAAGTTCCAATTAATGATATACCGAGGCACTGCACAGTGAAGTACTAACTTCAAATCTTGCACTATGGTCTGGTGAATATGGCAATGTTCAATTATGTTTTTCTCCCTTAAATCGAAGACATACCTTCAGTCTAGTGGACGCCGCACAACAAGATTAGTGTTGTGGTCTGGTGAATTTGTTAATATTGGATGTTCATATTACTGAAAGAAATATAACTATGGGGGCTCTGAGTTGACCAAACAAAAATTTTAGGATGACTAGGAAAACACTTCTTTGGATTCTTATATCGAAGGAGAGATTGAGAGAATTATATTGAACGCTAAGTGGTGAAGAGTTTAATCATATGTAATACCTTAACCATCCCACTGAATAAGCAGATGATTCAACGTCAGCTGAGAAGGGACAAAAAAATAGCGTAGACAAAAGATTGGGCCAAATCATGTGAATCTCCCTTTCATAATCTAAAGGTTTGTCGTTCCCAACGGTACAGATCTATAACTGAGACATAGAGCTTTTTTTTTTATAATGAGACAGAGCTTATTATATGCAAGTATAATCAGAAGTTCTTGGTTTTCAAAAATGGGATGTCTAACTTTATCCAACTGAGCGACTAATCGACTATAGTGCAGCAGAATAAGCCTTCGATGAACTGAACTATTGTTGGAAAATCTTATTGGGACTAATAACGGAAGTTTTGAATACATGTTTTCTCTCTCTCGTTTGCTGTTTTGTGAACAGAGGTAGATGTTTCTTCCTCAACCAGTTGAGAGGCCACCCCATCTCCATGCCCGGTGTATCTAATCTGACCACTAACCTGACCACTAATAGTTGAGAGGCCACTAATCGAAACATCTAATTTGACCGAAACAGCCATATTTGATGTTCTCATCGAATTGGAAGTGAATGAAAACCCTGAGAATGAAATGTGGGATGACCTTTCTGAAATTGTGTCAATCTTCTGTTTCAGATTCTTTTATCAGTGCTTCCTGATTTGTTAAGAAACTTCTCCGCTCAAAACACAAGAGATGAAATCACTGTGTTAAGGCAAAAACTTGATAAGGTCAGAACCAGACTGGAGCACATCGGGGCGCTGAACGACAACCGAGCTCAGGCAAGGTGAAACATGAACAACCAGAAAAAAAATACAATGTAGTGTGAGATGGATTTTGCTATAGTACTTGTGTCGCAACCTGAGATTTTGTATTATTAGCACAATAAAATTGTAACATTCTTTTTTCCAACAGTTATCTAATGAGAATCATGAGAACTCCAGCAGAACACTGTAACACCTCCTATGATGAGCAAAATCCATCTGGAACAGAAACTTAGGAACAATGGAATGTACACAGTAACTTATTTTCATGATTTTGATAGGCACGGCAGTCAAGCATTCCACCAATGATGATTAATTTGCCTTTTAATGACCAAATATAAACCTCTAAAATGTACTCCCTCCGTTCCTAAATATAAGTCAAATGCATCTATATACATCCGTATGTAGTCCATAGTGGAATGTCTACAAAGACTTATATTTAGGAATGGAGGGAGTATCAGATAATTTAAATAACTTGGTCTGACAAAAACAACGTTTGAAGTACTGACAGACAAAAACACATTTCTCAAGAAATATGTATATTTCCATAATATTTTTAATGAAATCAGCATAATAAATGAAGACTCCAGGTGATACCTCTTAAGAGAACTGTGAAATATTTGTAAAGAAAATTGCAATGGAGGGGAGAAACTATTCAGCTCTTCATTGGCTAATCAGTAGCAAGGAATGGTAAGTACATTAGTACATTCTGTGTACAAAAACCAATTGGAATGCACTTTCAGTTCATGCTTCAGCCTCAGAAGCCATCACCAATAGTCACCACAAGAGCACACACCATTCTTAAAATGATGAAAGCGACTGGAGTCCCGCACAATGATCTCATGGTCAACAATCTTTGAGATGTAGGTGAAAGCACTGTGGCAATCACCGCAAACGCGCAGGTTCTTTGTGATCCTTATTGGACAACCAGGGGAAGTTGTGAGGAGGCCATATGCGAGAGCAAGCTTCTCGCTGTGCTCAGCAAGCAGGTTATTTTTCTCCTCATCATCGACATCGTGGAGTGCAAAATTTGTCTCAGGAACATAACCCATAGATTTGATGCGATCAATCAGTCTCTCCAGAAGGGCATAAATCTGAGGGGATAGAGAATGCGATCGATCTCCAACAAAGAAAGACGCAGTTCCTTTCTTACCCTGGACCCAACTACAACCGGGCCTCTTCTTAATCCCGGAGTTCTTCATCAGGTTTCTGATTCTGGCTACATCCTTCCAACGCCTTGCATTAGCATATATGTTGGAGATGAGCGTGTAAGATCCATCATTCTCTGCATTCATCTCAACTAGCTTGTTAAGAGCATATTCAGCAAGTTCTACATTTGAATGTACTCTACACGCACTAAGCAATGCAACCCAGACTACTGCAGTAGGCTCCATTGGCATGTCTTTGACCATATTCCATGCCCTATCTATCTGCCCGGAGCGGGCCAGCAAGTCAATGACACAAGCATAATGCTCTGCACAGGCAGCCACACCGTAATCTCTGCTCATGCTGTCAAAGTAATCCAGGCCTCGATCAATCATTCTAGAATGGCTGCAAGCATATAGAACAACCAGGAATGATATATCATCAGGAACAAAGCCTGCCATTTGCATCTTGTCAAATATTTCCAGGGCCTCATTGCCACGACCATGCATCCCATATCCTGCCATCATTGATGTCCATGAAATATCATTCCTTTGTGACATGCCATCAAATACATACCTAGCTGTATCGACATCACCACACTTTGAGTACATGTCAATAAGACAGTTTGCCACAAAGTATGTAGATGCTTCATATTGATGTTGACGAACCACATAAGCATGGATTTGCTTACCCACACGCAGGGCTGACAGATGTGCACAGGCCATCAGAATGCAGGAAACCGTAAATGCATTCGGGGCAACTGCGTGTGGTTTCGAGAGCATCTGTGAGAAAAGCCCGAGGGCATCATTAGAGTCCCCATATTGTGCATACCCACCTATCATCACAGTCCAAGTCACCACATTACGTTCCTTTCGGGGTATAGAGTCAAATATAGAACGTGCAGCTTTGAAGATTCTGCACTTTGAGTACATATCTATTAAAGCATTGTGCACCATGAGATCCTCCTCATCGCCAGTACCACCAAAATGGTTATCCAAAGATAGAAGACGATTCTTCAGAGAGTAGGCATGAGTTTCCATACCCTGAGAATATGCTCCCAAGGAAGCACAAGCAGACAGCACAGAGATGATTGTGATAGAATTTGGCTCTGAACCAGAAAAGAGCATTTGTCGGAAAACATTGAGTGCCTCTTGGCCACATCCTCTCTGAGCATACCCGGCAATTACAGCAGTCCAGGTCACTACATCTGCTGAGATGTTTTCCTTGCGCATATTCTTAAAAATCTCAAAGGCTGCCTCAAAGTTCCCACTTTGGGAGTAGCCAGTCACGATTGCATTCCAAGAAACAACATCTTTGATTTCCATCATATTGAAAACCTTTACCGCATTCTTCATTGAACCACATTTTGCATAAGTATCAACCAGAGCATTGCCTACAAAAACATCTGGAAATGTACCATTCCGAATGGTATTTCCATGAATTTCTCTAGTTCGAGGTAGTGCCTTTAGAGAAGCACATGCAGGAAGAATGTTCACAATGCTAATGATGTCAGACCTATCATTTGTAGCCTTCTCGTGGACAATCATTGCCATTTTCGAGAACATATCCAACGCGGTCCATGGACTATTGTGTTTAACATGGGCTGCAACAATTGAATTCCATGATATGACATCATCAATTCCCCTCTGAGCTATTTCCTCGAACACCTGGCTGGCTTCCTTCAGTGAACCACAGCGGGCATACATTGCCACCAATGCATTGCATACAAAGACGTTTGACTCAAAGCCATTGCAGCATATAAGTCCATGTAATGTGATACCACAACGGTACGAGGGTAGCTCTCCACAGGCCTTTAGTATATGCGGCAGAGTAAAATGGTCCGGTCTGGTTCCAGCACGCAGCATCCGGCAAGATACTGCAATGGCATGGTCAAGGTGGCCCTCTTTGATGTGTTCTCGGATGAGTAGATTCCACCAGACAGCTGGAGACGGCACAACATGCTCCAATGCTGTGAGAGCCTCATCTTTGGAACCACACGCAAGATAAGCAGCTACGACACCAGTACCCAAAGATCTTGGTGATAAATACGGCTGAGATGGCAAAGGTGGAAACGACACTTCCAACAACGATGCTGGATAAGAAAGAAGACCCGAAGAAATGAGCTTCTGGTGAACTTGATGGACTGCATTCACCGACCTGCATTCCTTTAACAGGGTGGCGAACTGAACAGGAGAAATATCTCGACCAAAGCCTGCTGCATTTGCAACTGAGATGAACCACCGTACAGCAATTGGTGTTGTGACTCTTGGCAAGTTGAAAAGCATAATATTGTGCAGACTAATCCCTCAAAGCAGTCATCGCATCACTGTACAATGAAAGAGAACAAAATGAGAAGGTGTCATACACATAGTATTTCAATCAATACAAATTGATGTAAGGAGCAGAAAAGAAGAGTAGGCAAAGATCAAGAAAATAAGTGCACATGCACTCGAGCCTTACTGTGGCAGAGCTACACTAAAATGCCAGCAGGCGCAAAGTCCGGATCATAACCTGTCTTTGCGTGCGTAAAACTAGCTCACAGGCAATCTAGTTGTCCTTTCGTTCGGAAGCTTGTTAATTTAGACTGTCCTGGGTTTAGCATTCATACTGTCCAATGTATCTGAGCTCAGTTTGAAATGAAATTCGGCGCACTGTGCACCACTCCCTTGTTAAAAAAAAGAAGCTACTCCACACTGCATTTCTCTTGTTCACATTGCTTACAAAATACTACTCCTACATGCTTGAGCTGAACATACTACGAATTTAGTGCTTAATTCTATTATACACTGGAATTAAATTCAAGACTGGCACGCATCCATCTCAGACATGACACATGGGACTGACGGACATCACAAGTGGGCAGGGAGAGGCGAGGAGACAGGAAATTACCAGCAGGGAGCGAGGGAATCGCTGAATCACACGCACGCACGCCGCCGCTTCCAGCGCTTGCTGATCGATTGGTTTTTGCTCCGGTTGCTAACAAAGTTCTGTTCTTCAGAGGCAGCGAGTGGTTTGAGGTTCCGGCGGCAGCCGCACCGCCCCCGCCTCGTCCCTTGGCTTGGCGGTGGCGGCGACGACTGGGAGAGGGAACGGCCGCGCGAAGCTCTGCTGGTCGGTCGCCGGTCGAGGTTCGAGCGCTGGTTGGAGCTGGCGCCCGGGCCGGAGTGCCAGCGGCGCGTGAGGGTGCGGCCGTGCGGCGCCGTGCTAGGGTGGAGGGTGAGCAGAAAGAACGAAGCTGCGGGGAGCGCGCTGGAGCGAGCGGGGCCTAAGGGAATCCAGCACTCGTTTGCGTTGCTGCCTTGGGCCTTGGTTGGGCCGGGCTCTAGATGAGCGGGGTGGACGGAAGCAGACGCGTTGTGGGCTGAGCCCAGCTCCGGCTCGGGCGGAGGTCGGACTCACCTCCGCCGTCGCCGTCGCCGGCTCGATTCGGCCGGTCGCCGCCGTCTCCGGCTCCTTTTGGTCCTCTCGCAGGCTCCAACACTTGATCCATCGCTAGCCCGCAGTTCCCCTCGGCCTCTCCACGCTGAAACCCCAAATCCAACAAACCTTACACACACATACACATCGCCATCGCAGAGCGTTAACCGCGACCTCAACGAGAGAGCAGAACAAACTACTAGTATCAGGTAAGCAGTGAGCTCATGCATCTTGGATTCCTGACAGCTGCAAAGAAAATCTGTGGGATCCTTTTTAAAACGTACTCCATGTGTGATTAACAACGACTCCTGACAGCGAGTGTCATCAGATTCGGACCCTAGCTGTAGCTAATGGCTGGGCATTTCAGTGCCGGTCTCTTTCTGGCTTTGTCACCCCCCGTTTGCCCTCGCCTCATCTCTTCCCAGGGAGCTTCTACCTGCAGCCAGTCGCCACCTAGAACAGCCTTCTTTTTAGACCATACACCTAGAACTGCATCATTATCATTCTTATATAATTTTCTGATTATCTTCTCTCTTTTTTGAACACTTCTGATTATCTTTTCATGTCCCTTTCACGGCAAGATCCAGGTTTTGATTCCCCAGGTCTTTAGCTCTGCTACTTCTAACCGTCTGTGCTAGTATCACTCTGTTTAATCAAGGACTAAATAAACATTATGATTCAGTAATCACAATGTGATGACAGCAGTTTCACACCACGCAGAAAAGGGGAAATGGAGAACAAAAAAAAACTGTGATGGGAAATGAACAAAAGGTGTTAGGAAACTTGCAACATCGAGCTGAAACTTTTGATCCCCAACTAGAAAATGAGGTTAAACTTTTCAGGAAAAAGAAGGTGCCCTATTCAAAAGAATAAAAATGAAGTGAGAGCTGAAACTTTTGATCCCCAACTAGAAAATGAAGTGAAATTTTTCAGGAAAAGAAGGTGCCCTTAGAGCTAACTCATGCATTCTGAAGGGTGTGTCCTGGAATGTTGCAGAATTTTTTAGATGCACAGATCCAAGATTCCTAATCAAAATACATCAGCTCTTAACAAGTTCCACAGCAAAAATTACCATATAGAGTATATCCAATCTGACTAGAGGAGAGAAAGAAGACCTGACAGAGTTAGACTGCATAGTTTCTTCAGAAAAGAATTTCACTGGTAAAACAAGTTGTGAATTGTGAAGAAGCAAATAATCACAACACTGACAAGCTATCATCTTCATTGCAGCAAATGCTAGTGTACGTGCATGGAGCTGAAATTCACATGGCAAAATGTAGTCCGAAACTCCAAATCTATACATTAACAATTCCTACCAAACAGCTAACCAAACAAAAGGGAAAACAAACTAACTCAAACTGACATGCCGAAAAAAGAGAAACATTACAAATCGGAAGGCAGGCGTATCTGTGTATGGCCACATAGCAGTACGGCAGAACCCGTTAAATCAAACCAAATGTAGAGCCAAATCTGAGCAGATCTTGTACAGGTACTCTGATAATCCTGAACTATATATATAGCCTTTTATCTCCACATGCATAATGTACACAAACTAGGTCTTCAAACTCTTTATGTCCAGTCATCTGAATATCCATGTCGAGACTGGAAGCTGGACAGAAGAAGAAAAACTCACCTATTGCTACACTGTGAGTGTGTCTCAAAATCTGGCGAGGCGCCATGCTCGCTCATACTACCTCTCGACAAGTTTCGCATCCTCTGCCAGAACTTCTTGTTCTTGCCTGTCATCAGGGGGCCAGAGCTGGACTGCATGCGGAAAGAACCTGAATCGTCAGCTGGAGTGAAGACAGGCGTTGAACCAAACATCTCAGATAATAGCACCCTCTCCGCTTCCATGCCAGTTACATCGTAAGCCGCTGTCGTACGAGCCGCCAATTCCTGGCTGAAACTTCCCGAACCAAGACCCTCATCACCCTCGCTGCAGACAAGCTTCAAGGCCTGCACAACTTCGCTCATGCTCGGTCGGTGTGCAACCTCAGGCTGTACACACATGGATGCGATGGCAGCTGCTTTTGCCACGTTGTCCAGTGGCACATTAGGGCCAAGAAGTGGATCAACAGCTTGACGCAAGCCCACCACATTTGTCAGATATGGGCGAGCCCATGCGACTAGGCTTTCTTGGCCTGCAGGCTGAGACATGTCCACAGGCTTCCTACCTGTGAGAAGTTCAAGTAATACGACTCCATAGCTGTATACATCACTCTTGACAAGAAGATGGCCCGTCATGGCGTACTCCGGTGCAACATAACTGAGAAGAAAGACAGAATATCATACCATGTTTAAAACTATACCAAGACGTTGAGGAGGAGATAGTCCTTACCCGAATGTTCCCATGACGCGGGTGGAGATGTGCTGGTTCCCCTCCCCCCTCGCAGTCCTGGCCAGTCCAAAGTCTGAAACTTTTGGTGTGAAATCATGCTCTAGCAGTATGTTGCTTGACTTGAAATCACGATGAATCACACAAGGGCTTGAGTCTTCATGTAGATATGCTAGTGCCCGCCCTGCCCCCAGGGCTATCTTCATACGTGCATTCCAATCAAGTGGAGCTATCTCGCGGTCGGCTCCTACAATGTGCCAACACATTAAGTAATTAGTTTCAATCAACTGTTGACACTTCTATATGCTGGCAGAGTAAAATCTGCAATAACATACTTACCATGCAAATGGGACTCAACGCTGCCATTTGGAATAAGTTCATATACCAGACACCGTGCATTCTCCTCCACGCATATGCCTAACAACTTGACCAAATTTCGGTGATGCAAGCGTCCCAGCATCTCAACCTCTGCCAAGAACTCTCGTTCACCTTGGCCATCAAATCTTTTCAGAACCTTTACTGCAACTGTGGTTCCATCTTCAAGTGTCCCTTGGTACACACATCCGAAGCCACCTTCCCCAAGTATCGACGAATCGTCAAAGCCATTTGTAGCCTTTTCTATCTCAGCAAATTTGAATGTCTTTGCCTGCCCTGCGTATGCTGCCATACTTGACCCCAGTGAACTTGATGGACCTGATTGAGTACTACGGCGACCAGCTAAAAGTGTGTTACATGTCCCTGCAATCATGAGGTGTTTCAGGATGGAAACTTGTTGCTGGTAAAAATGGACATATATTACTTTAACAACAAAATGATACAGGACGTTCAGAAGTGAAAACGCCTCATCTGAAATGCTACCATAAACGCTGTGGGTTAGCATTTGAAATGTGGACTACCTTTTACTAAAAGTTGGCTGTGTGCATCACAATGATGCAGAGGCTGGGTTTATCCCCTTTTCGACCTTTTGAGAAAAATAATAAAATTGATTTTTCCATTCTGACCTATTATTATCTGAAAAATATGCTTGGCATATACAGATTTGATATTTGTCACTCGCCTGAGTAATTGTTATTTCTGGGTCAACCAAGTTGCACATCATCAAGTCTACGATAGCACAAAAACGTTTGTGCAACTTTGTGTCTAGAAATGTTTGAGCGACCAGCTGCACATCTCTAAACCTATTTTCTAACATTTTCAGCTACTGAATTAACCGTTAGATTAAGAATCAACTTTCAAAATCATCCACATGGAAGTAACACTTTCTCAGTGAGCTGAGAGACAGATGCTCCGTTATAAATTTAGCAATGATCCCATAAGTAAACACTTGAGAATAGCGCTCGAATTTAGAGGCAGTGGCTAATTTAATCCTCACAACATTAATAATTTCCAGTTCAATAAGATAGACATTTCATGAAGGATGGTGCCAAGGTCGGGGATAATGAGTCTTCCATTTTCTATAAAGACAGATCCAGTGCTAGAAGCTCCCACATCAGGTGAGGTCTGAAAGGATTATACGAGGATAACATCGTGGCTTTACATGTCTATTTTATAGGTACAAATTAGTGTATACGACCAGGACAAAATATTGAAAATATAACTATGGGGTGCAGTTTTTCCGTATGGGATGTTCGAAAGCATGTGCTGCATCGGAGGCCAAGGCTGTATCTCATGTGGCACAATAAAATATGCCAACTATACGGTATTCCCTCCCAAAGGGCATTACTGGAGATATTTGCCTATAGGACACGCTGAATTCAATAGCCAGTTGGAACTGGAGACACTTGGCTGAAAATGTGCAGCTATTGTTCTGCTGTCAATCGAACAGCTAAGGCAAGTAACATCACAATATAATATGAATATAGATATTAGAAGGACATGTACACATACCGGAAGACCTGGAAATTTTTGGAATTGCACTATGTGGATATCCTTGAGCCATGTCATCTGAATCCCTGAATCTGAGTATCAGCAACCATGCAGCCACAGTGCAAATAATCAATGCTATAACAGTGGATAGAACAGCAATAGCAATTACGCTCCCATTCACTTTTCTTTTGGGTCTTCCTACATCAACCCCCAGGGGCTTCATTGCCCTTGCATTTCTGCTGTTGCCGAATGCACCAGCTGGTGCTGAAGGCGGAGAAGGAGGAAGCCCTGAACAAAATACAAATCTTTGGTGAAACTCTTAGTGCAGAAGTTCAAAATGCTTAACAATGAGATATGATGAGCATGACGCACTGAATCCACTGATGTTTATGAGATCAATCAAATGACTACAGTATACTGAAAATAGCTGGTAGCATTGACCAACTACAAATAACCAAATAAGAAAGTCCAAGAACACAAGCAAAGAATGCACGCATACCTGGATAGACAACATAGAGAATCTCATAGTCCCCGAAAACTGACGGTTTGAGAGAAATCTTTTTGCTCCACAAGCTTTGAAATGTCGACAAGGCAGTAGCTTTATCAAAATTCACATGCATTGGTACCAGATGCACAAGAACTACTGTCTTGTCAGGTTGATCGCCAGCCACATTTGCACCCATAACACGAACCTGCCGCCGTGCCATGTTTACCCCAGATCCCACTTCGTCAGCAAAATCCGAAACTAACGGAAAGAATGAATAAAGGTCCACACTTAAACGGATTCCAACTTTAATTGGTAGAACACAAGCACATGGAGCTCCCGCGGGTGGATCCGTTAGAGGCTCTGGGCACACTAACAATTTGCAATCTGCATTTTAACGCTTCACTAGGTAAGAATCATCAGTATTACCCAATATGCACAGATTCAGCATGTAAAGTTTGAAAGGACAAAGATATTAGAATACATAAAGAAAAATGTACCTAAATTAGGTGGTGGTGGGGGCAATGCCCAAATAGGATGAGTTGATGGTGCTCTGGGATCTGTTTCAGGAGGAATTGGTGGAAGAGTAGGAGAAACACGAGGTCCTGAAAATGATTGAAGTTTCAAATATCTGTACTGAAATCAGGAGACGAATACCAAACAAGGCAAAGTAAGAAGGCTAAGTACCTTTGCTGCCATTAGAGGGGCCCTTTGGTGACACTGGTGGAGGAGATGGAGGATGCACATGGAGGTTTGGATGGCCTGGACAGGAAAAACAATGAAAGTCTTAGTACTATGAAATGAAACCAATGTTTTTTTGTTAGAAAATGAAACCAATGTTTTATAGAAGGAATAACTACCATTACCTTGAATCATCGGTGGAGGTGCATGATGATTTTGCCTTTTAGCCCCAACCTGCTGTGGAGGTTGAGCTCGCGAGACATCGGGACCTATAACACTGAACTTTTGAGAATCTTAACACTCACAATAGATAATAGCTAGGTTTTTCAAGAGGCATTATGCTGAACCTTGAGCATGGGGTGGTGGGTAAGATGGGGAAAATGATGGGCGTTCTCCTTTCGTTGGTGTCGGAGGATGAGATCTGCCAGTGGGTGCTGGCTTAGGAGCTACCCCTAACGATGGGGGTTGAGCATGTGGAACCGTTGATGCATTCCTCGGGAGTGTAGGCATATTTGTGTTGTGGGGCAGAGGACTTGCTGCAGGCGCAAACCCTGAAATCAGGAATTTCAGTAGTCAAGATACATTGTCTTTCACAAACAAGCTGCCAATTTTATTTAATTTTTTGAGATTACCTCTAGTTGGTGATTTGTGAACCGGTGCAGTACTAGGTTCCTTTGGTGGAGATGCACGTTGAATGTCATGGTTCTTACCACTTGCAGGAGGGGAAGTATTTGCTGGGGGTGCCGTGTTTCCTACAATAAACATGAAGTTCAATATCTAAGAACAAATGAATGTAAGAACATTGGCAAAGAAATACCAGCAGATTTTTTTAATACTCACTATTGTTATGCTCAGCATTTGGAGCTTGTGCTTGTTGTTGAGGTGCATGTGCGATAATAGGTGGTGAAATTGGAGGTTTCACATGTTGCGGAGGAACTACTAAGAAGAACGGTAAACGGTAAAACATATGCAACCTGTCAAATTTGATCCATCCTATGGAAGTGATTTACCTGAAGCGGAAGGAGGAACTGCCGGGAAAATGCCTTCAGGTGGTGGATACGGAGGGACATCATTACCTAGAGAGGGAGAATGCAGGAGTGAATAATGAGGGAAGGAACATATTTGCACGATTTTTATGAACTTTTGGCACATCAAGAATTCGGGAACCTAAGCTTATAAATCGTTGCCAGCAGAATATATACCTGATCCAATTGGTGTACCTGGTTGATTGTTCACAGAAGGCGGAGGCGCTAGTGGCACATTAGGCTTCACAGCCACAGATGGAGCAGGAGCTTGAACTGAAGATAGTGAAGGAGGAGGCACTAGTGGCACATTAGGCTTCACAGCCACAGATGGAGTTGGAGCCTGAACTGAAGGTAGTGAAGCAGGAGGCACTAGTGGCACATTAGGCTTCACAGCCACAGATGGAGTAGGAGCCTGAGTTGAAGGTAGTGAAGGAGGAGGTGCCAGTGGCACATTAGGCTTCACAGCCACAGATGGAGTCGGAGCCTGAACTGAAGGTAGCGAAGCAGGCGGTGGTAGTGGCAGATTAGGCTTCACAGCCACAGATGGAGTAGGAGCCTGAACTGAAGGTAGCAATGCAGGTGACCCAGGAAGTATTGGTGTGGGGTTTCCAGCTGCAGCTTGCGGCGGAGGAGCTGCTGCCGGGGGCACCTCCTCAGTGACAGCAGGAGGAGGAGCAGGCTCAACCGGAGGAGGCACAGACACAACCGGAGGAGGCGCAGACTCAGCTGGAGGAGACGTGGACACTACTGGAGGCAACGCAGACTCAACTGGAGGAGGTGCAGACTCAGCTGGAGGAGACGTGGACACTACTGGAGGCGACGCAGACTCAATCGGAGGAGGCGCGTTGTAACCTACATAAGATTCAGTTAGTGATGCACATATCAGGATTGGAAATGCCATATCTGACTGAATGTGAGCTACCTTTAGGGGGGACTACCGGAGCCGGTGCGGCCTGCGGCTCAGCCGGAACTGCCCCCTTCTGGAGGGGAGGACTTGCTGATGAAGTAGGGGGTGCTGCAAAGGATCAATGTAAGGAAGGGCCTGCACATGAATGTCCCTGATGATCTTTGAAAATTCAGAGCTACCTGCTGGAAGAGTCACTGGACCGAGGGCGGAGGAAGGTCCAGGAGGACTGGAAGCTTGTCCTTGATCGACAGGCGAACTACCAACCCCGGGAGCAGGCGCCAGATCAGTACCTAGAGTGGAGTGAAGAACACAGGTTCAAGGAGCAGGTAAAGTATGCAGTGTACACTACTAACTGTGTAATGACTAAGCTATGAGTTTAGTATCGGACAATCTACAGGTTGCTATCTGAGGCAAATCTTGAGTGTCTTTTCAGCACAAAAGTTGCAAAGCAAGAGCAATTATTGAAAGCTTGCAACATGAAAATGGCACATAGTGATGCATCATCCGACGCATGCGGCCAAAAATTATTAATTGTTGTTGCGATATCACGGCCAAAAAACACAGGTAGATGAGGCAGCAAGCACATGCGACGCAATTAAAGTGGCTCGCAGTTGCGGTGACAGCCAAAGACAGGGGAACGCGAAATGCCAAGACGCCGACATTGCGCCGCCCCTCTTGATGAAAATTCAGAAGCAAGGAGCACATGCGCTTCAGAAAGCTCTCCTGTGGTTTGCTCAAATCCTGAATAAAAAACTGTGAACCGCGGTTTCCTGGCAGCAGATCAGCTGGCCAGCCTGCGCATTTGGAAGAAAAATTGTTGAATCCGCAGGTTTCCGCCTCAAATTGCTCAACCGAGGGGGGAAAGGGGTGGAAATATCATGGAGAAACAAGCAAGCATTCGCATTGCCCAGCAGCTAGACATGAGCTGATCCCCAATTTCCCACCCAAACAAACCACGCCATGGAACCTGGGGTAAGAGGAGAAGAAAGCCGAAGCTTGCGCAATGCTGAACTTTGCTCACCTGTGGATCCAAGAAGGGAAGCGAGAAGCAGCGCCACCGCGCAAGCAAGACGCCGCATCTCGCCGTCGCCTGAAGCCACGCGCGCGCACAAGCTCCTAGCCAGAGCTGCCGCAGAAGCAAGGGGATCACAGCCACCTCGGTTCAGCAGTCGCGGAGCCGCACCCGCAAGAAGCCCCTAGAGCGGCTGAAAAGGAGGGAGCCTGACCGCCATTCGGGTAGCACGCCATGAGCAACCGCGGGCCCATGTGGGGAGGGAGGGAGCCAGGGAGGGTGTAGGGAAGAGCAGCGCGAGGGAGGGGGAGGAGGAGGGGAAGGTGGCCACTGCCCAGGAGGAGGAGGCGGCCAAGGCAGGCACCAAACACCACCAGTACCAGTACAGTACAGTACCAGTACTTGTACAAGTAGCAGCAGGGACAGGTAAATGTAAATCACGCACCCTAAAAAGAGAGCCCACCCTAGCAGCAGAATTTATTAGCTAAAGGCGAAAGCGGCGGTGATCCAGGCAGCACGAAACCGATGCGGATGCCGGTGCCAGGCCCGGGTCGAGGAAAACTAACGACGGACGGCCGGGTGAAGAAAACATTCGTTGCTTCCTGCCCGTGACCTCGCCCACGCACCACCTCCACCGTTGCACGCACGAGGCCGAAAGAATCTCGTGATCTTTGGCCTCTGGTTTAGTTTAACCATGGACGTTAGTACCACGAACTGGCAGTAGTGGTACCGCCGCGAGACGCAAATGCAAATGCAGATCTTTGGCGATGCAATTAATCCAGCTAGCCCGTAGTCCGTAGTCCGTCCGTCCCTCTCGCTGTGGGGCTTTGGTAATCCCTCGTCCTCCCGCCAGCCTGGTCTGGTCCGGGAAAATTACCGGCTCCGGCCGCCCCGGCTTGTCGCTTTACCACTGTGTGCAATGTAGCAGTGGCCGGGGCTTTGCGTTTGCGAAACTGCCATACACACGATGTTTCGTGGACGATATGCGCACGACACTCAAATCGAACAGTGTAGCAGTGCTGGCCAGTTGCATCCAATGGTTGCCGTAGCATGTCGTCCGTAAATCGGCTGCAGGCTGTCGTTCACGTAGCAGCGCTCTTGCGTTTGGATGGGAGCGGCACGAGCCCCTGAAATTGAGCGCCGGGTTCTCCTCTCCTGCCCGTGCGCGCGCGCGCGCGGGCGGTGCCACGGACACGGACGCGGACACTGTGCCGGTCGATCACGGGGCCATGTCGGCCGAGCGCGGCCGCCGTGAACGAGCGGGCGGGCATCGGATGCTGCGTGACCTGGGCAGAGCACACGCGGTCTGGTGCATGCGACGGGAGGCTATGTACTGTATGTTTGATGGGGTAATCCTGATCCTGACACGGGGATTTGTCGCTGTTTGCTCTGCCGCGACGTGCGTCGGTACGCTAGCCGGCCCGTTCGTTTTCGGGAATCGAGGCGCTGTGGAGTCGCCGTCGCCGACGGAGACCGCCAAACCGGCGGCGATCTCGCGTGTCAGCCGAGATAGCTGGCCATCTGCTGTACGTTTCTTCCTCTTTTCCTTCTTTTTTCTTTGAAGAAAATGGGATAAATGTGTCAGGCTCCCGAGTTGGACCAGGCTCAACTCATCTTGTACTAACATTCGAGCGAGCTCAAACTCAAGGTCAAGATGCAGAAAGTGCCTTGTGCTAGCTTAATAAGATGTTTTGTTTTAATAATCTAAGGTAATATTTTGAATAAGATTGCCACAACACAATATAAGAAACCATTATAACATATTATTCCGATCAAAACGATGATAATATAAAATTCAAGGTAGTTTGACTTATTCTCTCTCACTTGAGACTAGTACTTGATAGCAAAAGATTGTCTGATTGTGGATGGATTAGCAAGAGAAGAAAGAATGCGTGTATGCTCTTAAATTTTGACCCAAAAAAAACTTTGGCCGCATACCAGATGAAATCGTACTACACAACATACATGGTGCTAAATTAACCTTTTTTTACTTTTAATATATATCAGGATTTTTCATAGAATTATATTATATCAAGCTAAAATTGAAACAGTATTGGCTCAAAATTAGCACGTTTTTCTATCAAGCTACATAAAGTGTTTATACTCAGCTCATTTCTTCTTGAGTTGATCTCGAGTCGAGGCAAAATACAAATCAATATTGAGCGGCACACAAACCTAGAGCTTTTCTTGTAGCCCTAATCCTAGCGCGTTTAGTCCAATTAATCGATGCCTACAAATGCTTCAAGAATCACGCTGATAAAACCTATATTTTGTGTGGTACGAGAACCCCTAGCCGCCGCCTTCTCGTCCTCCAAAACAAAGCTAGGGTTCATGCCTCTCGCCAGCGCCACCGCGGGTCTGCCTTATCTCCAGTGGCCCTAGGGCCACGGGGGGCGTGGTGGATCCTGCCAAGGGCTGGTGAGAGGGCTTCGTTGTTAGTCGTTTCTTCGAGTTTGTTAGGATTTGTGTCCTATTCAGGAAGACGAGATGGCAACGGCTCACTGGAGATGGAATAAAGGTCTCCCCGCCTAGCCCCCGTTCTGGTTGTGCGTCTAGCATCATTGATGGGCGTGTGGAGGTGTGTCTCTGGCGGATCTATCCTCGGTGGATTTGCTCGGGTCTGGTTGGTGTTCGTCTATGTTCATATATCCTCGGGTTGGATCCTTTCGACATACGTTGTTCTTCATCGCCGGCGGTTGTTGTTTTGGTGCACTGGTCTTATGGGGTCTTAGCACGATGACTTCCCGACTGTCTAGTACAATAAGTTTGTGCCCGACTCTGACGAGTGAGGGGCAATAACTGCGGCGTGCCTTCGGCTCGCTTTAGTGCTGGTAGTTATCGCTAGATGATCTACGGATCTAAATGTAATTTATATAATTTCTGGTGTTCGTTCAACTGCCATGATTGAATATGAATGAATCGGAAGTTTTATTTACAAAAAATCACACGGATAAAAAATAATCGGGTGGATCGGTATAAGGAGTGGCGCTATCCTACTCATACAGTGATCGTGCTTGTGATCACGGAAAACGGGCATGGAGTTGATAGGCGCCACGGGCGGCTAGGGTCCCTGCCAAGAACCAAACATAAACTGTCGCTGCTGGCGAGCTGTGAAGCACCACAGCATAAATCATGCAGCTGGCGACGTACAATAATCAGTCACTCAATGCGCAGAATGATAGGATCCGTTAATTAAGCCCAAACAGCTACTATGCTCCTGGCATCGCCTCAATGTTGGTAGTAGACGACAGTGCTGTCTACGAACAAATTAAGCATGCTTCCCGAGTTGATAATGTTTGGACGTACGTATTGTACACATGCACAGCAGTGTCGAGCAGCAACTGATTGATTGAAGCAACAAAAAGGAACAAACATGTGTGCGCACGTGTCCACGTGCCGCGGTCGCTTGACCTACCACGACGACCGCTTTGGCTTTTTGGCGCGCGTACAGATACTGAGATTGCGTGACATGCAAAGCTCAAAGTTACCGGCTGGCTGGCCGGACACATGCCACCTTTGCTTGCCGAGCAACCATGCGTCCACATGGCGAACCTGCGTGGACACAACACTTCTGTTTATTTTGTTTAGGATATTTACAACGCCGATCCGCAAACTTCCTTGCAACGACCGTGTTGTTTGGACCGTAAAAAACATCCAATGTCGAGCTGTATTGGTCTGTGTGACAGTTCGGACGTGATTTGCGGCAAATCAAAGACAAAAATAAAGGAAATTTACAGGAGTCCAGATTGACGCCAAGCCCATTTCTGACGCCCTAGGCCAAAAAAAAACCTCCCGCGCGCATCCCGGCGCCAGCTGCCCGCATTCATGTCGCTCCGCATTGAGGGCAGCTCGGGGCGGACGCCCGGCTGAACACGCCTCCTCGCTGCATCCTACGCCTTCATTAACCCCACGTGGAAGCCAAGAAACCTACTTCGTCCACATGTTCGTTCATTAGCGGGTCGGCATTAAACGCAACGCCAGCCGAGCTCCTCTCGTCTACCCTGTATTGAAACGAGGTCACACATCGGGCAAGAACCACACCCCTCCGCCGCTCCCTCCATCTCCTCCTTTACCACTCTTTCGATGGCTTCTGAAGAGCATTTCTCCAGCATACAAGCCAGCTGGGTGGCCCGTCGAGCCGGTCGAATACAAGCGAGGCAGCTCGCTGTTCCACCTCCTGCGCCTGACCCGACGGAGCAAGTTGCCGCCCTACGCCGCCGCGTGCTTCAGCAACTCGCCGCTCCAGGCCCACCCGATGAGGAATGGCGAGTTGCTCCACACTGGCACGGGCGTCATCGCTGCCGTCGACAGCGCCGCGCCGCGCCGCCCGTGCCTGCGACCGTGCCATGCAGGCGGAGAGCGACGAGTCGGTGGTCGGCGCCTCCGCATCCGCCGCCACCATCGAAGAGAAGTAGAACACGGGAGTCCGCTGCCGCTTGGGTCCCATGAAGGCCACCACCTAGGCAACATCGGCGTACATAGTCGGTATCTTGCCCGGTTCTTCTCTTGTGAGGACCTACGTTGATCCCACATGGGCTCCACGGAAGCGGAGGCGCCGCCTTCCCCTCCCGCTGAAGCATCAGCCGGGGGGTTCCACTACATGAGTAGTGGGGAAGCGAGCCGTCCTTTGCGCTGAAGCATATACCTGCGGGGCTCTCGACAGTTCGGTGATCGAGCTGCCGAAAATGAGGAAGGCAAAGGGATCCGCGGCAGCGATTTAGATTAGGTATTATCCTTCAGAGCCGGACTAGCATCGCTTATTGATGTAAATGTAATGAAATCCGTAATGTTTATATGAAAATCTGGCATTTTTATATAAAATCCGTCATATTTATATGAATTTCGAACGTGTTTGCATGAATTTTGTTCGATTGGTTTAAGTTGTTGTGAAAATGTATGCGGCTATGGTTGAATGGCTGCCTCCCGCATCCGTGTCCATGGACCGGACCCCTCCTATCCGTAAACGGATGCGGGCGTTGCCATTGGAGATGCCCTTAGCTCCCCGTTTTCCAAAGTTTTCTAATTCCCATGTGGGTTCTTATAATCATATACTTATTACATACTTTA